ATATCAGAGGTCCTTGTGAAGAGCAGACATGCCTCGCCTCAGAGATCCACTAGAAACTACCAGCATCCCCAGTTGCACATTTGTGACTCCACCTGTGCATAACAAGTACGTGTGCTAAGATACATCCAAGTCCTTTAGCTTGCTATGAACATCTGCAAGTCAGTTATGGTTCTTCACTCTTGTTCCTTTTTCCTGCAGACTTTGCTCATGGCTTCGGGATTCTCAACCAGCATTAAATTAGTGCAAAATACATACAAAAATCAACAGAATATCACAAAATCTGCTGCTGAGGGGCCTGTAGGCTGCATGAAGATGCTCCACTTCAAATGCTCCAAAGGGCATCTGATACACAGTATCTCTGTATTACCAGGCTCACAAGACCTATTTCAATTGTATTTTTCAATTTTCCATCTCAGGGCTGGCCAACCCTATCACTAAGCTGTCAAGAACTTATATACTGGTTAATTATGCAAAACCCTGGAATATGTAAATATTAAAATGATCTTTTCTATTACATCTATACATGGCAACTACAGTATGCTTAATGTTATAGAGAAAGATCATGGTTACACTAAGATTCTGATTCTTTCACAGCGCACAAACTACAGTCCCCTGCATTAAAGTCAGACATGCTACACACACAACCCCACTCTTACTTTGCCACTTGCTAAATAAAGGGCAAATTACTTCCTGCAATACCTTGGCACTGTGAGGTGCAGAATTGTCCTATACGGACTAGGGCTGGGACGATTATCCAATGTAATCGACGTTGTCGATTCTAAAAATTATTCGACGTGGAATTTTAGTGTCGACGCGTCGTGTAAAACCACACAGGGTAAATGTTCATAGAACAAAACCGGAACTTTCTAATGGGACCATTTATATCCATCGTCTTTGGTTTACCTGGATAGAAGTGCAGCGCAAGGGTAATTGAAGTCATTGACTACGTGAATGATTTGCATCTGTGTAATCTATTTGAACAACATGGCGGCGTCTACCAGCAGTACGACGGAGCGTGTGGAGCAACACGCGGCAAAAAAGGCTCGCACACGGTCCTCCAAAGTTTGGGAATACTTTAATCTTGACACCAACAGTGCGGTAGTCTGCAGACTCTGCAAAGTGCATCTTCATTTGTGTGTGTGTGTGTTGAACTGGGCAAATTGTTATATTAAATGACTAACTGGAAAATAATTGCAATAAAATTACTGTTAGGTTAATAAAAAAAATAATCGTTAGATTAGTCGAATAATCGAAAAAAAATCGCTAGATTAATCGTTTAAAGAATAATCGTTTGGGACAGCCCTAATACGGACATAATGGGTATCCAGGGATACTGGGCTGGAACATTCTTCTCCTCTGTATTTAGAGTTTTACATTTACATGGCTACAATCCCACCTTACCTACAGAAATTGGATCAACCATCAGCTTGCTCGACTTAGCGCCACATGATTTTGGTTGTGCACCTGTCAACTCCACTGAGAATTTTGCAATTTATAGTTACCTATAATACCGTTCTCTACACATATACACCTCAGACAAACTAATCATAGATCTATTCACACACTGGCTGGAGTCTATTTTCTTCTGATGTATGCATGCAGCCATTCTGATTTTGTACTGGTCTGTAAGTGCTTTCACAATGCAGCCAAACTGTTCAAGTATGACCCTGATGCAGGACTCCTGCTGCCTTTAACTTGCTGCTTTAACTATGCTTCCAGTGTAGACAAGGTCCAGGGTTGGATCCAGGATTGTCTAAAAGGTGCAGACTGTCCATGTGTGCTGTCTGCTTGGCTACACATTTTTAGCCTCTGCAGCTATTAGCTGGAAGGACCCTTTTCTGGGCAGCAGAGATCTTCAAATGGCCATCTCTTTAATATTTGTATGTAGTACATGCATTAGTTCATTAGTTTTCATCTCCATTGCAGACCTGCCTTTGGACAGGGGGTCAATCAACCAATCAATTTGTTTGAAATGCACATCCACAAGTCACATTGTTGAGATTTTGGAGTTGTGTGTGTAAGCTCCTCTGCATTACCCATAAAATATCTCCACATAGGTTTACAGGGACATTTGCATGCATCTCTGGAAAGGAACAATTGAAGTTTCAGATGGTGAAATTACAGGGATTTGTATGGTTATACAGAGGAAGAAACATCACATCATATATATGATTTTAGTGATCTCATTACATCTACAGCTTTGTATGTGCATTTGTGCATTTGCCTGTGTATATTCATTTCTCCCTACAGTACTTGTGTACATGTCTGACTATATGTGCTTGTGTGTCATCTCAGTTTGTGTGTGTGTGTGTGTGTGTGTGTGTGTGTGTGTGTGTGTGTGTGTGTGTGTGTCTTCATCCTTTAAGACACAAAGAGTGACTGAGTCAATATACTGTCTCTGTGCATATAGCAGAGTCCACAGAAAATACACCTCAACACACAATGATCCAGGTCAGCACTGACCTCTGGTTTTACAAATGGCCACAGATTTTTAGAGACAATTAAGCAGAGGAAGGCAGTGGGAGATGCGGGTGAGAGGTAGAGGACTGACCATGCAGGGAAGGAAAAAAAATTAGTTTACATGTAAAATGAGAGAAATGGAGCAAGAGGGGAAAAGAATAAGGATAAAGATAGAAAACTTAAGGAGGAAGGTGGGTAAGCAGAGGGAGACTGAATCACTGACTGGAAATATAAGGAGGAAATTGAAATCCTGGTGACCGTATTCATTCTTTGAGCAATGGCGATTAATACTGTCAACACAAAATAATGAATTCTTCCTATATAAAGAAAAGAAAATAATAGTGGTAATTATGTATATTATGAGGTTTTTGTTTTTTGTTGTTGTAAAGAAGCACAGATGATTTCCAACCAGGCACATATATGGTATTTGTAACTCTATAGCCAGAGAGAACACTGATTTTGAACATTTCAGCACAACCTCTGCCTGGCTTCAATGATGACATTTTTCAATGTCTAATTCCAAAGTATAAACAATTCTCGCTCTCTACAATATCTGTGCCTGAAAACTACAGTGTGGTTAAGATTAGGATAGTTCACGTTTATACTATTTAAAGAAAGAACTTTAAGAGGAACTTTTTTTGCACTGAATAAATACATGAGTACATAGATTCTTGTTAGTATTATATTAATACAGTTGATTTTTCTAGCATAAACTATTGGCTGCTCCAAAAATATGTGAGAAATGAGAGAAATAACCAAGACTCTATTCCCTTCACTGAACCCCCAACCATGTAGGGTGAAGTGGATGGAGTGGCCTTTTACAGATGGAATATAATCACAGTTGTCAGGGAAGGTAATACCATAATATTTTTCATCGTGAAAATTTAAAATGAACAGACTGGACCAGGAGGTCCAGGCCTCCTGGACCAAGAGGTCCTCCACCTCATATGATCCTAAGAGTGGTCACTATCCATGCTATCTTTTATGTATTAACTTACTATTAGCAGTAGTACTAAATCAAGATTAAATTTAATTTGCCAGTATTGGTTTCATGTCAGCATCCTTCACATATAACAGACGCTTGCAACACTGGCGTGCACACACACACGCACACACACACATTGATCAACTGACTGTCAACTGACTGTCATTTAAGCACTGTTTGTTGTGTGTAGGTGCCACGCTGTGATGAAACAGAGGGGAGATTGAAAGGCAAACATATAGAACACATCACTTAGTTTGGTTTCTTAGCTGCTGCTGTTCATGGCTGTAGTAAGACCTTTGAGCCCAACAGGTAAGTGAAGGGACAGTCAACAAGTGAGAGAGAGAGCAAAAGAGAAAGAGAGGACTGTAAACTATAAACAGCTGTACCTATGTGCTGCCCCCTGCTGATTCTCGCATGGGGCGCACATTTAACATAGCCATAAAATGTATATGTCACCCTACTGTGGCCAAGTTCACCCTGAGAAAGACTGAGAGAGGTAATGAGTTGGGTTGGCAATTTCATAGGAACAATCTGTCACAATCATATTTATAGATATGATCGCCCAGCCCTATTATGTCTGGCATGTGTTTCTAATTTGTGACGTGAAGACGTCTCATGTAAATGTAATCTTCGGGGTACTAGGCTCTTGAAAGACAAAAACTTTGCACTTAGTGTTTTAGCTTAATTAGATCTGGACATTCCTCAAAACAACTTTTCCTCATGTTGCAGACGAGATACTGCTACATGCTCTTTGAGGTGAAAGAACGGTGCCCTCTTCTTTTTTCAGCAATAAAGAATTCTGTGCTACATATGTGCCATAAAGCAGTGTAGAATATTTCAAACCAAATTCAAAGCAGTGGCACACTGGACACAGTATAGAATCTATCAATAACATTTAGATTTGCTAATCTGAAACTAAAATTTAAGAGTGAGGTTGCTGCGGCTGCTACCGGATTTTATTCATGTTTCATCTGTTGTATATCTGATGAGAAAGAAACTGGATGAATTGATGCAGGACCATGTGCTACCCTTTGAATTTTCATGTTCACTGAATTGGTAATTAAGTATCACCTTTGAGTAAATATGGACTGATCGAGGAGAACTGGAATGGGTAATTTAGGGTTAAAATGATTCATTATTTTGGTGGAGAAATAATTTGGAACACACATGGAGACAGACGCAGAAACAGAGGGGGAGAAGGACGAACTGATGCACACTGACAAATTGACGTAGTGGCAAAATCTTCACAGGACGACATCAGTGCGAGAGATTTAAGGGGGGGAAACCGCGGAGAGGAACAACGTGATGAGAAATGCATTTGCATGTGGGCTATTTTTGTCCACTTCTTGAAATAACTGCAGTGGTGACCTTCCACTTACCCAGTGCAGCCTAAGGAATAACTTTACGCGCAACTATGCGCAGTGGCCAAAACAGTGCCCAACGTGGCTGTGCTAGCTGATGGATAACAGAAAAGTAAAGACAAAGCTAAAGACAGAAATATTTAGACATTTAGCTTGTGGAATAGAAATGACTAGACACCTGTCTGGCAACTCACCCGAGCGTATTTGGAGGAGTAAGGGTCCTCGAACAGCGCCCACATCTTAGGCTGCCACACCTCCCACCACGTCGCTCTGCGGCCGTCCTCCTGCATGCACAGGCGCTTCAGGTCGCCGTCCGCCCCGCCGGTGAGCGCCGGATCATCCTCGGGTGCGTCCGGCTCGGGGGTCTCGAAGCTGTCCAGGGCTTCCTCGGCGTCGCGGTGCTGCCGGTAGTTCATCCAGCAGCATGCCTCCACGTCCGTCTCATCGATGCCCCAGAAGGCGAGCTCCTCCTCGAAGAGCGGCCCACATACATCATTGGGGCAGTGGAGCTTACCGGTGCGGTAGTAGTTGAGGATGAAGGCGAAGGTGGCCGGATGGCGGTCAAAAAAGAATTCGTCGGACTTCGGGTCGTAGTCGAAGTTGCTGTAGGCGTCGGGTTCAGTCAGCCAAGACAAGCGTGTCCCCGGCAGCGTTTTTAGGGTGCTCCGGTAGGTCTCGTGTCGGATCCCGCCGCAGTTGATCACGATCTTCTCGCTATCTGACGCCGAGCAAGTCATGGCTGCGCTGGAGCATGCTTTGGTCGGTGCACCCGACTGCTGCTACTGATGCGGCTACTGCACTTCTCCATTCACCACCGGTCCCCGCTTTGTACTGTTACACCGTCCCGGTAAGGAGTCACAGGACCAACTGAGAGGAGGAGAGGAGAGGAAGGAGGGGTCTGCTTCTGTGTGTGTGTGTGTGTGTGTGTGTGTGTGTGTGTGTGCCTATGTCATAGAGAGAGAATATGTGGGATGCGGATTTTATGAATCAATAGATTTGCCCGCTAAATGACTGACTGCCTGATTGACTGACGGACTGAATCCACATTAGGCTACTGAATCCTGACGTTATTAAGCTGAAAAACTGCCATTTCTGCTGAGCAGATCCATTTCCATTTTGCTATTTTGGATCTCTGCTACTTTTGATTTTGCTGCATCCTCAACTGCAAAGAAATAAGATTTACAGAGCTCAGAAGCAGAGAGGGAGATACACTGCTTTTTCACTGCAAATGCTCAGTGAAGAGACAACACCAAACTACATGGCCTAAAGCATGGAAACCTGCATGACACACATATATGTCTCCATTGGAGAGGAGGGGAATAAAATATTAATTGTGCTACTTAGTAATTTAACTCACCACTGCAGAGAGAATTTAAATTACAGCATGAGTAGCAAAGTTCATGAAAAACAGCAGGTAAATGCAGCTGAAATTATTTCCAGGGTGAGGGTGAAAAATGACCCTCTACATACTCTGCACAGAATTTAAATCACTAACCAGCTCATGTAATGTTAAAATCATCTCCCCTGGAAAAATAAATCCAGTCTGACCAGGGATTTAGACTGTAGTATTAAAATTTCTCTTAATTGGAAATGAGGGGCCCAAACCAGGAAAAACAGAATTAAAGTACACAAAAGTATGTGCATAATAATGTAATAAGCCTAAACTTTTTAAAGTCTTTCAGGTAATGTTGCCACTACCTTTGTTAACCGGGTATGGAAATATACAAGCCTTTATTGATGATACAAATATTTCAAACTACTGGACACCCTAAAGCAGAAAATCCCTGCAGAGGACACAGGCAGGCAATCCACAACCCAGCAACACATTACCAGTGAGTAAGGCAAATCTTGGCAACCACCATTTAAGAGTAATATAGCATACTGTCAAAAGAACACTGCACACTTTTCACTATTCAAACTCAGTATGTAAATGCACAGCAATCAATAAGGACCACTCCAAACTGCAGGCGGGTCAGAACCCTTTCTACTAATAGAAAAGGGCTGCCTTGGCCACTAGCATTATTTCCCAATGAGTTCTTAATAGTGTCCAATTAACTAATTATTCAGTTTTATTTAAAAACAAATAATAAATTGAGTAGGAGAAAAACTATTAACAGGACATTATATAAACATTAATCATGATGTTTTTAAATTAAAATGATCTTGCCTCACCTTGGCGACAAGGCAAGACCAATGGCTCAAACTGTGTCAATTGAAATAGTCATTTTGTAGCGTGATGCTCAGAAAAATGTGTTGATCACTTTTCAAACTTTTTCTTAAAATGAGACTCTGAATGGAAAAAAGTGTAAAGAAACATGTAGCTAAAACTGATGCAGTCTAATACAACAGTCCTGTAATAAATCCTCCTTTATGAACATTATAATGATTTTATTTAGTTTTTATCAAAATTGTTTTAGAATCTTGTGGAGGATGTAGTGTGTGGAGCTGTTGATATGTATTAATTATACAGAGAGGTATGTCTGTTATTTAGCCTACCTTTAGTGATATAAATGGGATGGACAAAATAATAGAAAAACCTGGAGGTCAAGGGGAGTGTCCTTATGTAGCAGTAGTTTTGCGTTGGCATATCAAATCCAAATATCGGTCTCCTTGATTACTAATAATCGGTATCAGAATCTGTCCTGAAAAATCAATATCGATTAACTACTAATTATTATCCAAGTCATTTGGATACAACGAGGACAGTGCATTGGCCAGTGTCATCACAGTCCATGTCAAATAGGACACCGAAGTGACCATTTATTTCCCTGTATGCATCCAGGCATTTGTTTAGTCCTGATAGCAAACTGTCAATAATCGCATTTAATGTCTAAATTTAGAATTTTTTACTCCCAGTGAGAACGTCTTCATTGACCATAGTTTCATCATCAAAGGCTCTTCTTTCACTCACATGGTGAGTCTTGTACTAGTAGGTCTGTGTCACACGCTTGACCGCCGGGGCAGATCAAAGTCAGCAAATTGGCCTTGTAGTGATGCAATATAAGTGTGCAGCGATTCCAAAAGGCAAACAGCCGTCATTAGGTCCATTTCCCTCTTTTGCTTGTACAGCACAATGCTCTGCTTGTGCAGCACAATGTCCCAAAAGTTCATCATTCCCCGGAAAGGAAACCCCTTTCACTCAAAAATTTAACAACCGCAACGACACACCTCAGTACACCCTTCTAGTAATTAACTTTTGTCTCAATCTGTCTCCCAAGAGAAGTGTCCACAGTGCCCAGATGTTTAGTGCAACGCATAAGTGAAAGCATGAGCTTTCTGTGCTCAACACTCATGTTGTGTTCCATTATTCTTTTAGGATGTTTCCAGTCACTAAACCCTGCAAAACATGTGTTGCAATGTGCTGATGAAACTTTACAGGCTCTGGTGGATGGTGAATATATAATCCATTCCCATGGTACAGTTTCACTATTTTAAAGGTGTCTGGCCAGTGCAGCGTTAGAAAGAGAGCATGTCTTGCTATCAGTCTTGTTCCCCCATGATGCTGGGTACTTGGTGGCCTGATTCTGAGAGGCTGAAACCCCTTTCATCAGAAATTTGCTCCCAGATGCTCTCTGTAATCGACCCCCATAATGCAGGGTCTTCACCGATGAAGGGACCTGCCGCTGCAAATGAGCTTGAAGTGTCATTACAGTTGGGCCTTGGTACTTATCTTCATACACGGGCACCTTAATGTTGTGGCATTGGGTTTTTGTCAATTTATCATAAATTAAGAAAATATTAAAAATGTTAATATTAACTAACAACTTTAAATTGAATTAAAGTCATCTGGGGCACCAGTCTGAATCAGGCAAGCATAGCCAATATTTGTACAGTCTCATATTGTTACTATTAATCTGGATCTCTGATTAATAATTAACTTAATAACTATAACTAAAATTACCATATCAACAGTATGTAAAGGTTGAAGGATCAAAGTTCTACTGATGGAGGTTGACAATATTCACACTTATTCAACATTAAACACACCAGTAGTTACACTTGAAGGTGTAATGTGTAAGATATGGCCAGATCTTGCCAGAATTTTAGTTTGAAATGTTCAAAAAATGAATTATTACTATCAATAGTATGTGAAGGAGCCACAGTGATGATGTCCCGACCAAAACCTCCATCTATATATATTATTTCAGAGATATCTACTGAAATAAGAATGCTAACCAACTAGCTGCATCCTGGGCTGTGTTGTAATACAACTTCATGACACTAGATTCTGTGTGAGTTAGTGTAGCGTCTAGTCTGCCCTCAGTCCCATGAAGAAGAAGAGCTTCCTCCAGAGCTTGAAGTTATGCTACAGCTCCCAACAAAAAAAAAAACTACCAAATAACATCACAGAAATGAGAGATGGCTCAAGCGGCTAGAAAGCAATCTTTTTCTCCTGCTGAGTTTTTCCACCGCTGGAGACAGCTCCGGGTGAGTTTGATGCCGAGCTGTAACTTTTCTTTTAGACTGGTGAGTAACATTTAATGTTGGTCTGTAGCAAAAAGTATCATGAGTGCAAATTACAAACCGTACTGATAAACACTTGAAGTGGCATAAATATATGATTGATGATGTCGACTGGCATTTTAGTGATTTAGTAGAGTTTAGCCTGTTCCTGCGGCTGTTGTCCAGCTAGATGCATCAGTAACGTTTCTTTTCCGAGTAAGACAAAGAGACTGCTTGATCCAGAGCCAGCGGGTTCAGGATCCACTGCCTAATACTGTATTTATTTTAGAATATTCATATATATCCTTACTATTTATTATACACACACAATAGACCTGACATGCTTGGGTTAACCCCAGTCCTCCAGTCCAGTCATCCCCAGTGATGGACCAGCACCTGCCTTTTCCTTTGCCTGGCTTCATTAACCATCAACAACCACATTACAGTAACCTTGGAATATTATCCCAGCACAGAACAGATATTGTCTATACTGTGATCTTTTGCACATCCTGCTCAGCAGGGGTTTTGTCTACACTTCTGAACATAGATTTTTTCATAGTTTTATTTTTTAATGTGTATCTATGTATATTTATCTTTTTGACTGTTGTAGTATTTTACCTTTTTATTGTTATTTCCTGTTAATATATGTATTGTATACTCCACCAAACACCAAGCCAAATATCTTGTAAGTAAAAACCTACCTGGCAACAAACCGTATTTCTGCCTTTGTGATGATGTCATCATCCCTTCCTCATACTGCTATAGCCTGACACCAATGTGTCATGCAGTATCCCCTTGTCTTCATATTTTTATAGGTAAATAAAAACATACTGTTTATATTACTCATGATTTGTTTCAGTGCTATCAACAATCCTCACTATCAACAGTAAATCGCAAAATTCTGCCCCCTGATGAAGGTGGATCAAGTAGCACAATATTACACATTACACCTTTAAAGATATATATTTACAATGTAACAAAGTAAATCACACTGTGTCTAAATATAATATAAGTATATACTGGTGTGTGTGTGTGTGTGTGTGTGGGGGGGGTGTATGTCTGTGGGAACACAAAGGCAAAATGGCTGATTCAAAATGGTCGCTGTGACCACATGGCCTTAAAAGTGAAGACTACCACAAGATGGTGGTAAACAAAGAAACTACTCAAAATGGCCACTGAGCCCATGGTGTGTGGGGGAGGGAGAGAGTGAGTTTCTTCGTTAGCCTAGTTCATGTAGTCTAAAGGTGCCAAGTTAGAAGGAGTAGGTTAGTTGCCTGCACACCCTAGAACTGAGACATGCTACAGATGTACATGTGTGTGTACATACATGTAACAAATTAACAGTGTGACTAACCACAACCTAAGCAGACATTACAACAAACATGTACAATGACATAG